AATCATGGATAGCGCAGGAGACTTGCAGCTATGTGCAGGACAACAATCAGGCTGCGAGGCTGCTGTTCACGCCATGTCGAAGATTTTTGAAGAAGAAGAAACAGACGCTGTCTTACTGGTAGACGCCACCAATGCGTTCAATTCCATCAACCGCAACATCATGTTACATAACATTCAGTACATTTGTCCTGCAATGGCTGTTTATACGTTCAATTGTTATGTAACAGCTTCAAGATTGTTCGTGCAAGGTGGTAAAGAAATTGCATCAGCTGAAGGTACCACGCAAGGTGATCCGTTAGCCATGCCGTTATACGCCGTCGCCATTACTCCACTCCTGCTCATGATTAAATCTGGTGAAGCTAGTGATGTAAGGCATGTTGCGTACGCGGATGACCTTAGTAGGGCAGGTAAGCTAATGCAACTGCGTGCCTGGTGGGAGAAGATTGCCGTGCATGGTCCGAGTCTTGGTTACTACCCGCGAGCTGATAAATCCTGGTTGATTGTGAAGCCACACCTGGAGCAGACTGCCATTGAGATCTTCGCTGGAACTAATGTACGAATTTCAAGTGAAGGGCATAAGTACCTTGGAGGATATCTTGGATCGGATGACGGAAAAGATAAGTATATTAGTTCTTTAGTTAGTAATGGTGCCAGCAACTTCACGTTTTGAGTGAAATTGCCAAATTCCAACCCCAAGCAGCATACACGGCGTTTGTCTCGGGTTTTCGGCACAGATTTACTTACCACTTCGTGCCGTTCCAGGTATCAAGACCGCGATGCAGCTTGTTGACGACACCATCAACCTGAAGCTCCTTCCTGCACTCCTCGATAACCGTAGCTTGTCCATCCATGAACGACAATTGGTTTCGCTTCCAGCTCGTATGGGAGGTCTTGGTATTCCGATCTTTAACGACATCTGTGATGAAGAACATTTGAACTCCACAACCATCTGTCATCTTCTCTCAAGTAGAATCATCCACCAGAATGGTACACCGTCAGCAGAACATGGAGATTCCATCCACGATCTTCGCCGTGAGATTGCAAAACAACGTCAAGCTAGGAACTCGTTGCTGCTACAGAACTTGAGATCGAGCATGAGTGAAGAGCAGATTCGAACAAATGACTTCGCCCAGTTGAAAGGATCCTCAGCTTGGCTAACTGCTCTGCCACTTGCTGAAGAGGGCTACATCTTGACCAAGCGTGAGTTCTTTGATGCAATCTACATGCGTTATCGATGGCCTTTGAAACGCCTTCCATCTTTCTGCGCTTGTGGAAAATCGTTCACGGTAGATCATGCCCTGTCGTGCCTGAAAGGAGGTTTCATCCATCGAAGACATAATGAGATCCGTGATCTACTTGCTGCTGCTATCGATGACGTTGCTTACGATGTTTCAATTGAACCTGCTCTTGCTCCTTTGACTGGCGAGGTTCTTCCATCCAGTGCTAACTCAGCCGATGACGCCAGAGTGGACATTGCTGCGAGAGGTTTCTGGCAGAGATGTGAAAAGGCATTTTTTGATGTAAGCGTGTTTAACCCATACGCCTCAACACATCGACGCCAGACGTTGAGCAGCTCGTTTAAAGCCAACGAACGGGAAAAGAAGCGACATTACAACCAACGGATTGTTGAGGTCGAGCATGGCTCCTTCACACCGGTCGTCTTCAGCGCCTTTGGCGGATGCGGAAGAGAGACCCAACATTTTCTTTCCTTCCTGGGTGCGAAGCTGGCTGACAAGAAGAATCATTTTCCATCTATGGTGGTTAGCTGGTTACGACGAAAGATCGCCTTTGCTTTGCTTAGAGCTCGCGTGGTGTGTGTTCGTGGCAGTCGAAGTTGGAGGACTGCGTCCATTACATCAACTAACGACATTACGTTGTCGGAATGGAACTCCAACATTAGCGAGTAGTCTAGTTAAGTTGTTTTTGTAAATAGTCTGTAGAACTATTATACTTAATTTTAATGCATGATTGATTATTGTAAATTTCCCTAGTACTAATAATGTGAATAAATTATTACCACCTCAAAAAAAAACACAAAAAACTAAAGCTTGGGAAACACTGACAGAAGAGTTTAACTGCCAGGCGGGTGTCAACAAGCGTGAAGCAAAACAAATAAAGAAATGCTGGGAGAATATAAAATCTCGGGCGAAAAAAAGTATCGCAAAGGAGAAGAGAGAAGCTAAACTGACTGGTGGTGGTACGGCGTCGGCGGAGAAAGATCAAGATGCAGAAGTTGTTGTTGCAATAATCCCAGCGCAAATGGCTAGCCTGGATAATCCATTTGACGACGACAATTATGAACCTGGTAAGGGTATCGTTACAGAGTAAATACAGTGTACTGTAAAGTGTTGTCGTCTATGTATAATGGAAAAGTTCTGGAGGTTGATGCTGTTCATCAATTTTCGATGTAAAAACGACACACCAAATAGCATGCATCTAAACACCAAATAGCATGCATGCATAGTATAGCGTGGGCATAGTATTGGCTACTTTCCATATACGCCTACTTGCCCACAACTCATTATTGTATGTAGTATTTAGAACAGACTGTGATTTCTTTATTTTAAAATCAGTGCCGGTAATAATATCCGCATCAATAAAATGACCTGACGCTATAACATGACAACCAAACATGAAACTATAGTCAGCTTCTAAAACTGAGTTCACTAATACATTATAAAACGAGAAACCTATTTCAGTTCGTTTCTATAAATAGCCTAGATGTCGTTGAAAATGAAGAGGACCAGGAATCCCTAGAAGACGAAAGCATAACTAATACTAATGAATCCCAACCACAAACATCAAAGATTATTGGAGTATCGAATTCTCTGCCTCACAAAATATATAGAATCTCTGCTGCCCAAACAAAATGTTTGGATATGCAGGAACGACAACATACAATTGAGATGGAAATTCTTCAACTTAAGAAGAATAACCTCGTAGAGGAACACCAGAAAAAGATGGAGGTCCTTGAAGCGGAGTTACAATATTGGACGTCTAACAAAAAAAGAAAAGCTAATACTGAAGACGAGCCGTCGAAGCGTATTACACGGCGAAGGAAGTAAAACCATTGTTTTCACGATATTTGTGCCATGAAGCTGATTTGCAAGTGTAAATAATTATATAAATGTTTAACATAATAATTACGTTGAGAGTGAATTGACATTGCTAATCCCTCTTGTGACGATAATAAATTCCAATAAATGCGACAAATACTACAGATTTTGTCACGCTATGGAAATATTTTTGTGTTCATTGACTGTCAAAACAATCAATTCCTAAAGAGAGTTAAAAATAATGATAATAATTTTCAAAGCAAGATGAAATTATCAGGCTGGTACACAAATGAACATAGTTCATTTCTGTTTGAAATAAGCGATTGACACACAATAGTTACTAGCTTTGCTTTTAATAAGTCAATTTTTTGTTCCATATATAATGAAAAAGCTATGATTTTTGTGTTAATCATGCTGGACATTTAATTTTGTCTAAACCATGACTAGTTGAGTAGGTTTAATGTTGCTTATTTATAATGTAACACAGACATACAGGTTGTATTCAATGTCATAATAAAATGAATGACTGTTACTAATTCATAATTCATGTAAAGTGCTGAATTATGAGAGCACGCCGTGTTGCATTCCCGAGAGCTGGGGCCTGATCATTCACAACTGGTAAAGGATTTTCATCAGGGTCTTCCAGGTTTGCTTCATCCATAGGATCATTTCTTCCTCTGATGAAATTGAACAGGACTGCTGTTGCCACAATTATTGTAAGAGTAGTGGAAAGTTTTGTTCTAATGAACATAGATAGACAGGGAAATAACCTTTTCCAAACCCCAAACATCCTCTCCACTGTATTTCTTGTCCGAATTTGGAATACATTGTATCTACGTTCGGGGGGAGTATGTGGGTCCAGTAGAGGTGTCATCAAATATGGTCGACAAGGATAGCCATTATCACCGAGAAGCATGCCTTGGATGTCACCGCGCTCAAACTGTGCACACAAACGACTGTTATCAAATATTCGTGAGTCGTGCACGCTGCCCGGCCACCTTACAACAATGTTTTGTATCTTTAGATTTGGGCCACAAACTGCTTGAACATTCAGTAAAAAAAACCCTTCCGATTTCTAAACAACTCTGCGTTTTCACCTCCTGGGCATGGAATTTTTATATGCGTACAATCAATCGTCCCAATAACATCAGGGAATCTGCATATCCTCCAGAAATCGAGTTTAACTTGAGGTAGCATATCAGCAGTCGGAAATTTAATATAATGAATTTTTAGTCTAGCAATGGCCTCAGACACGCGCTTTATAATACGACTTGCAGACGGTTGAGATATATCACACAGGTCTCCACATGCTTCCTGAAACGTTCCAGTTGCATAATATCGCAATGTTAACAAAAGCTTAATTTCTACAGGAATTGGATTACCTCGTTTGTTATGAGCAGATATATCTGGCTCTATAATGTTTAACAGCTCCCGAAAACCATCCTTGGTTAATCTAAATCTGCTTCTAAATTGCTCCTCATCATACATCATACATCGCGTAGTTGAAATTGTAATTTCTAATCTCCCTTCTGTTATTGCGTGCCAAATAATCTAATTGCTGTAATCTTTCAAACCATATATTCGCCATGTTGCTTATCACTACTTCATGTGAGTGGGGTTCAAGGGAGGTATGTCCCACCCTCAAACTCCACTCACATTCGACCTCTATTTCGGGAGTGAATGCTGTTAGTGAATGTTTGGAGTGCAAGTGTACCTTCCCACTCGTTGAGATTGAATGAATACTCATTGAGTACTGAGTTACACTTACGGATATTGAGGCGCACTCATTGAGTGTGAGTGTGAGTGAGCTTTTAGAATACAGGCGTTAATGTTTATGTTTTATTTTTACTACCAGAACCGCGGAAGCGTTGTGTTTATCGCTGTCCCTCGGGATATAGCTATGTTATCAAAACCATAGATAATTTTATAAAAACAAGGCAAAAATATGAAACTTTTTTCATTTTATTCGACATAAAATCCCAAATCAACAAGAAAAACATTTCTAACAGATTAAATAATCCGTTCTTATATGTAGGATAATACATTACTATGTAGTTTGAATAATAATGGTAGGCGGAAGCTAAGTGTTTAAATGGCTAACCCTACTTTATAGTAGGCAGGTAACAAAACTATGTACTGTTGAAGAAATTACAACAAAATTAAAATATTTAAAATGGACAACAACGTTTTATGTTCCCATGCAAGCACAAATTATATTCACGTTTCTATGCACAAATATATGTAAAAGCTATGAGGCAAACAAGAAAAAAAGGCTTCCTTCGTTCAACAGAACATCACGGTTCACTTCTTAGCGAGATTTTTGCCCGGCACATCATGGACAAGCAATCTGCCTTTTTGACTACGATTGGTAAAGGCGTTATTGCGGGTGCACATATAGTAATATTCACCCGGCGAAAACCTCAGTAACATACCACGATACGATGCTGGGGCGTTGTTTAACTGCACATCAAGCGCAGCTTTATCTGGCGAAGCTTTGCAAAGCGTCATGCTGTTGTAGTAACCTGAAGATGCCATACTAAGTATAAGATCTTCCTTGGTTTTCGTCGCTGGGTCACTCGACCAGACGATTTCAGCATTGGTGAACATGCTTAATGGTTTTTCCGATGTTATTGGGTAGCTTAAAGATGGGTCTTTCATCTCTACCATGTTGGTTCGATCAGACCCTATAGGATTTATAAAAATATGCAATTATGATACCTGTCACGGACCGTGAACGTTCGACCATTTTGCCAGCAAGGGCTGGTTTCCACTGTCTCGCGTAAAAAACGTGACAGTGGAAACCAGCCATTATTCGCATGCGCGAAATACGAACGAGTATAGCCTGGTAATCAGGCAAAAACGTTCTGATTAGCAAAACGACTCATAACCTGTAAGCTCATATAAGTGTTTTGAAAGGATAGTTTAATTCAATGCTACAACTGAACACTTTACATTAGTTCATAAAAAATGTATTCACGGGGATAATAATCGGAGCAATGATATCCGAGAAAACAAAAATATCCGAATTGCGCATGCGCAGTAATTGGCGATACGTTGTCTTACCCTGCTAACTTTTTTATGTTAAAAGATGATAATAGGTTCCTGGTTTCTAAGCAAAATAATTTCGTTCGGTTCTAAATAGTTATGCCAGGGAAACGCAGTATAATTTGAAACGAAAGTGCGTTTCCCGGACAAAGATACGTAAATATGGCGTTAACTCTTTATGACTAACCTGCCTTTCCTTGTCCAGCATTCCCGTTTGGATTTGTATTTGACCCTTTAAATAGACGAAAAAACTTGTTTAATATCACGATCAAGCTGTTTAGTTATCAAGTTATTTTAAAGATGCGACAAGTATTTCTAATTATTGGAGTGACATGTACTAAAGTGGTAATGCATCACTTGGCCGAAATTTCTTTAAGAATCGCTAGAATTGTCCCACTGATGAAATGTTGGTGTTCACTGATTGTGAAAGCAATGAATTTTTAGGACATGAATAATTTCGACAGAAAATTTACATAACAGGACAAAATCGTTAGGCTGCCAACGGTCCTGAATATTATTAAAATGAATTATCTTACCAGTCCACTGAATATGCAAAAGGCTTGAACTCGCTATAGTCATGCGCTTCGGAATGAAATCATATTCAACTGCAGGGTAAGCTTGTACGATATTACCGCGCTTTCCTCGCACATTTAGATTGCGGATGACGTCATGATCCGAGACAGAATCTGGCCTGGGTACTAGTTTGAATAGATGAGATCGATCTTGGAATGTTCTTCCAAATTGAGCGGTGTTGATAGCAAGCTGTAACGGCAGCTGAACCTGGCCAACTTTCACTTTTGGGTTGTTTTGGACTGGAGAATACACACCGTTGTCCCTGTAAATTATATAGACATTATATTATACAAATATTATACATACAGGTAGTAGCTAGCGTATTCGGTCTAAAAATTCTACTAAGCTGTGATAATCGTTTGATCTTGTGTGAAAACAATAATCAATTTCTATAAAAGGATTCAATTTTATTCGCCCAGCGGGTATACCTACAGTCCATAAGGCTGGTTTTCATATAACATAAGTCGTTATAAATCACATGTAATAATTCGTCGTTAAAATTCACATAGTATTTTCTCATTATTTCACATATTATAATTCGTCATAAATTGTCGTCATTCACATGTCATAATTCGTCGTTATTAATTCGTATTATTATAATTCGATGTAATATCTACAAATAGTTGGTTAGGTTCAATGACTTCTAAATGTCTAAAAAGGACAATCACTCAATGGCCGAAAGAACATCTCTTGTTTTTCTGAATACGTCAAAATCATTTGTATAACTTCACAAATCTATATATACCTAAGATTTTAAGAAAATTTAAACGATGACGGATGCTCGAAAAGAAATACTTACGGGTCGTTATTTTGTTCGCTGAATGTCTTAAATGGCGGATAGTCCCCTGTGGAAATATTGTACCTGGACAGAAAAAAGATTAGCTATTAGCTGATTACAGTGTAGAGCATAGTTTCAAGTCATCTAAAGATGATCAAATCACACCGTTCTCTTGAGATACAATTCCCAAGTCTATAATTTCTTAAAAATGGTTACACGCAACCAGTGGTCAAAATTTTAGCATAGAGGGACAAATCGTCAGGCTGGCTAGGCTACTGATTAAAATATTATTAATCTTCGATCTGGATATCATTCGACAAAAACATTTGTCAACGGGAACTGATTACAAAAGAGTTTGGACAAGAGAAAATCATGGCAGGGTTTACATTTATTACAAAGCAGAACTTATTATGACATTATTACTCTCTCTCTATTAGGTTCATATACTTCAAGGATAGTGGGATAAAAAGAATTATTTCATGTAATATTGGCGAGAAGTAATTCTTTATTTCTTTCCTAAATATTTTCTTGCAATTTGATGGTAACCTTTCGACGAACAAAACTCATTCGGCAATTTTTTATTCTGTTCCATTTATGTCAAATTAAATACAGGTTAAATTTGACTAACCTTATTCTTAGGACGCATCTTTGAGCTCGTTTAGACGGAAAATGTGGAATAGTCCAAGTGTAACGAAGCGGGATAACGTTCTCGCCATTACCCAAATGGTTTGAACGTGAATATGGAGCTGGCTTGCAGTCTGGTTTATTAAGGCCGACCAAACAACGCTTCAAAGAATCCACATTATCGCCAGTCATTTTAAAATTATCGATATCTTCGGAACGGTAAGGAATGGCCCAAATCAGAGGAAGGTCTTTGGAACGTGCAGATTCACATCCTTGTTTTGTCTGATACTTGGGATATTCTTCCAAATAGTTGCTATACGCAACCCAAAACCCTTGATTCTTTTCACAATCACGTTTATTGTTATAGGCTGAGTAATGTTGAAAGCCATCAGCTTTCGATGGATAATATTGAAGGCATTCCCCTATTGAGATAAAGTTAGAGCTTTTTAAAAAAACTTATCATTAGCCTCCTCCGCAGGCATCTCTTATGTATTTATTTTAGGCTTTCATATTTGGCTTCGGTTAGCTGTGTCGGGGGGCGAGAAAAACAGCTAACCCAAGCCAAATATAAATGCATAACATAAATACATAAGAAATGCCTGCGGAGGAGGCTACCCCATCATCTGATATTTTATCTTTTTGTCATGTTTTGTCGTACCCTATTTACTTTGCCATTAAACTATGTAGCCACCTAAACCTTTTGAGGAGGCTAGATATTCTTAAACCGGGAGATTTTATGCATGTCGTCATCAAATAAAGTGCTTCTCAAAATATTAACTTTTTCTCATGGTGTTTTTCAACCAATCTGATTTAGAATGGAATGCATAAAATATTACACTTGCCTTTGGTCTTCGTATTGAAACTTTCCTCCTGATAATATTTACACATAGATTCATTATAAGCCAACACCACAATGTCAGTCCAGTCAGTTGGGTGCCAGTAAGGATAGTAATCCCTTTCCTCTGGGCATTCATAACCACTTCGAGCTCCATTTGCATTTTGACGTGTATAAATACTCTTATCACCCTTCAGAGTCTGATCAGCCGTGAACAATCCTTTGAAAATTATAATATATTGATACATTTTACTGGCCACGTGATTTCGAATGTACTGTTTATTCGGAATTTGGAAATATGGCAAACATATATGGTGCTGAATACTCAATTATGCCTGGTTTCCATTTAGTCGTATAGATGTTGATTTGTTTTTATTTTTTATGCAAATCCTCATTATTGGCGCACGCAGAAATATTCTTTCACATCAGTTACCTTTCACATCATTCACGACTAAGGACATTGGAGGGAAGGCGTAAAGACCCGCAGAAAATTGTATTCGTGAGTCGACCAGCTTTCAGGAAAATCACTCTATTTTATCACCGCCTCGCCCATCCCCCCCCCCTCATCTCCAAAAAGTTTTCACTGGTAAATCTACTGAAAATATAAGTTCCGTGGCATCACTATAGACTGTTAATTTGGATGGACTTATTCATAATTATATTCGTGTTTATATTATTAATTTATTTTCAAATTGATTGTTTTAACGGTCTGTGAACATGAATATATGAATATGTCCACCCCACTTATCGATGAGGAGACGCCACTGAGTGAGTTTCTGAATAATCAGTTTCCCTTATCATTAAGTGGTAAGTAGTAAGTAGGAGTTCACAAGTCGTTTGCCACCTTCAATAATGGAAAACAGATTCAACGGAAGAACACGGTGACTTATTGCATTATTATAATGAGTATATTTGCATAAAGTCATTTTAATAAAGACGAGCCACCCTAACCAACCTTTATTACGATCTCGCTTGTAGCATTTGTCATACCATTCCCAGGATTCATGGAGACCTCTAGCAAAACCAGCTGAGTCAACATTGAGGTAATAGTTCTTGTAATAGCGAGTGGTAAACGTATATTTGCTGTATTGTGGAGAAGTGGTAGTTTTCCCTGGAAAGTATTAATTTGTAAATAAATAATTATCCCAAAGAAATGCACTCCCTGCTATTAATTCTAATTCTGTAGGCTATGTGATTACAATGGCAATAGCCGAATTCCGAAATTTTATGTTCGTACTTTTATAGAGTGGGTCGTATTAAAAAAAACTCGTCGATTTTTCAAATATTTTCACCCAATTTAGTCAACTTAAAAGTATTTTTATTGTAGTTAAAAACATTGATCACCTATTAGCTTCTAAAAGTTATATTATATTGATTTTTTGAACTTTAAGTACTCTATCAAGTATCTGAGATCTAAAATTTTTTGGCCGATGCAATAATTGAAACGAATGCTGTTGTTTTAATAATTGCGAATTTATAATGAAAGTGTTATTCTAAAAATCTTTGTATCATCCTTGATATAAAGGAGTTTATTTCATGAGCACTAGGCAACAAGTACACACTAGTTTCCACAGAACTTGGCGAATACAGGATTAGGCAGGATAAATCAATAGCTTTAATTTTAAAATCACAACTGATATTTTGAAAACAACACGATTTGTTATGAATTTCTAAAGAATATTTTTAGATAAAAATCCACCAAGTTAGAGTCGTAGTCATTCATTCTTCTTTAACTTGAATCTGCCACTTGTTTCCAAGTGATATAATTTTATATTTCATATAAAGGAAATTCTTATGACTCATGGAATTTTTTACACTGAGTATTGCATGGCAAAAACAATATCTTTTTTGTTCACCTACACATGCGAAACAGACGGGATTGAATTGTTAATTCTGTCAGAAATTCCTGGGCGAGTTCACAAAGTTATAAACAGAATTTTGATGTTTTCTATTCAGATGGATTTGTAGAGGCACATTTAGGAGTGATGTTTGAAAATTTTGCGGAAGTACAATTAATAAAAAAGATCCCTTTCGACTTATCAGCATCGAGAAATTACCTCATGTCAATGATAAAGTTTTAATTTTCTGTAACGTATTATATTAAAAAATAAAACAATAGAATTGTTCATCCATGTACATGGATATGAAAAACGTTTAACCGCTAAAACAAGTTTTCTACATGGATGCAGTGCCATACTGTAACTAGAGACTTAATCAGGGGCTGCGACTTTTCAAATAATTATATATCTGTCTTATGGCTGAGTGACTCTTCCCCCTCCCCCTAATTATTAAACTTCAAGCTACGGCTTCGAGATGCAAAATTTTACAACTTTTTTCCAACTTACCATTTCTCATAGAATGATGACCCAGTTTTTGATTGTTTTTGTCATCTTGACATCGGTATTGAAGAACAATGTTGCAATTTAAATCTCGATCATTACAACCATGCTGATTGGTCCATTCAATTGTGAGCAATGATTTCCCAGCCAGACCTTGAGAACTTGGATCATGTTTGCCACTTTGGAAATAATGCTGAAGACAAAAATTTGCTAAATACATGCTTGAAATATGCAACATAAAATAATTATGTAACGTGAAACAAACAATACACTTTTGAAATTTGTACATTGATTTATTTAAATTATTCAATCAGAAAGTTTGATTTGTATCACGTGTTACATCTAATCAGTCAATTAATCATGGAATTCCATGAAGTTTTCATCACCTTATAGTTTGAGATTGCGTTTAACAAGTGTGGATGCCTGGACACAGGACTAGATTGATTGTGCATTATACAGTTTTTAATATTTTTTTACAAAATCGTAATTCGCACATTTTTGTCTGCTATATATGATATCAGTTATCGCATGGTCACAAGGAGATGTGTTTTATGCCTAGATGTTGTTTCGATTTTGTATCGATATTTCAAATTGATATCAATCGTGCCATTGGATCATCTTTTTAATTCATCCGTATAATGGTATCAGGTATTTAATCATCTATACGAGACGGTTTTCCCTTCCTCTAATTCGTTGTCTTTTTAAGTTCTATTTTTACTCAAGGAAATTTTTCCACTAACAAGAGTTCGTTTTAAGTTTCAATCATGCAATTAAGTTATTAAGCAGCTTGCCATTCTTGCAATTTAAACGTAAGTAATTTTGTTTGACCAATAAATTTAATAAAAAAATTTCGTCAAAAAATTTTCCGTAGTTTCACTCAATTCAGATTGAAATCGTAACATTCTTTATTTGCATAGAGTTTTGTTTTCGTTTTCGTTTTGCAATTTTCATGTAATTCTACAACCGTTGAAAAAATATACATCCAGGATTCGTATACAAACGGTCGCTGGTGTTTACATACCATGTTAAACTGTGTCTCTTCGCTGGTCGACGCGGAAGCAGTTTTATCACCAACATTGTAACCACCTTTGGCGTTGTTCTGAAATTGGGGGCATTTATTAGAATAATCATTGAAGTGTCATGTAGGGGCTAGCAAATATCTGCAAATCGGAATTACTGCAATGTTGATAGCCAGCCCTATACTCTGGAAAAACAAACATCTGAAAAGCCTGTTATTAGCATGATGGAATTACTAGATTCTGATAGGTGGAGAGTCGCACAGTTATTTGAATTAAATATATACTGCAGATCAATGGACGACTTGTGCTATAGCCATGCATGTGAGGTTGGCAAATTTTGTATACTTTTGTATTACGTGCGGAAATGTGTAACTAATTTAGTTACAAGCTTCCGGTCGTAATACAAAGGTATACAAAAATTGAGAAGTTCGCATAGCTACATTTTCCGTATTTTAAAACAATGCAGTTTGACTTATTTTAGTAAGCTCTTTCAGAAAATGTCCTTTTTATCGCAGAGGTAAAAGATTAGTCTAAAGCGCACGTCGTCCATTATTAAAATATTTGCATACAAACTAAATGGCTCTTTTTATGACCCAGAAAGGCCAGGAAGATAAACGAAAATACTGTCAAAAGTTCAAAATACTGGATTATAAAGTCTTGCTGGGCTTTATTTGTACAAGAAATTGCCATTTATGCATTGAAAATTATATTCTAAGAAATTTCAACAAGTTATTTTATTATACAATTATATTTCCAGTTGAATGGGGGCAGCTGTCTAAAAATATTCTTACGAAAAAAATCACCTGAGAGTCAAACATCCGATTATTATTTGCTCGATTAGCACCAGCTCCATTTAGGCGATTGTTGGAACCTCTGGGGTTGTGTAGAAACATATCAGCATCGGTGGAACTCTTCATGAGCAACAATCCAGCTAGGTAAAATACATTTTTTTTCCATAAATTCAATGCAATAATATTTTTAAGTGTAATTAAGTCCCCAATTATATAATTAATTCAAGTGAGTTTGTAATTGTCCACTGCATGCATCTGTTGGCTTTTTAAGTCCAATTTCAAATGTACGCCATTTCGCTAAACTTGTTTATTTTGCGAACTTCTTATCCCATTTTTGCTCACTTCTTAAGAAATTGATCGTGAGGCACATGAACCAAAGCGCCTTTTTATGGGTTTTGAGTTAGTTAGGAGGCAGGAGTTAGTAAATATAGCCAGAAGCGCAGGCGGCATGCGGCGAGGTTTGTGGGCTCATGCGGTTCAGCTTTTCAGTACATCATTTAGATCAGGTTCGCTTGTAGAATATATAGCAACAGCTAAAAGAAAATAATGGGGTTCAATGATCACTCTTCAAAATTGATAACCTTCATCGCGTTGGGGTCTTGGGGAACACATTTTTATTTTTAAGCTTCTAAAATGTGATGTGCATAAAGCACATTGAAGGTTGATAGTAGCCTATGAGGTTGAATGTTGAATGTTGATAGTGACCTATGAGGGTATTTGAAAATTTTTGATACCTGAATTCTAAATAATATGCACAGTAATAATTATGTTTTCGTGGTTGACAGATGCCCTTTAGTGAACTATATACAACAAAGGTCGGTTTACAGAATGCAAAAGTGGTAATACGCTACATTATCTTCAATAATAATCTCTACATTTCTTTAATGCCCCATAAAAGGGCATCTTAACAGACGAAGGAAGCCAAATTACTTGTTGGCCAACACGGTGTTTGAGTGTGTGGTTGGCCCACTAGTCTTTATGTTAAGAGGACTTACCTTGAAAGTCGTAAGTTAAAGACGTTGGAAGACTTGAAAATTGGAGTGAGGTCGGTTTTTGATTATAATATTGCATTATTTTCCTACTTATTTGAGGAAATATAATTGCATTCTCCCGAACATGGTTAATTTACAAATAAATTTATAGTAGCTATTCTCAAAAGAGATCATTACTGGGCGGCGCTAATAGCATTTTTGGTGGGCAAAAAGTGGGAAGATTGCATGGGAGAAACATTTGCCCCCATCAGGATATCTGCCAAAAATTGATCAGGTTGTCGCATCAGGGGTGAACAATGCTTTGCTGCACCCTGGGAACAGTATTGTTAACATTGGTATTGAACCTTGTTGAACATCAATGTTGATGCAATCACGATGCAATGTTGTTGTAACAAGTTGCAACAACATTGTTGTAACAAGTGGCAACAACATTGATGATTCAACAAGCTTCAATAACATTGTTAACAATACTGTTCACAGGGGGCAGCACAACATTGTTCACTCCTGTTTTTTAAAAACTTGCATCAACATGATGATTTTTACGCGTGTACCTGCCAAAATGGACTGCCTTATACATCTATTACTTCATGTCGACCGCAGTATATATACATCACGTCATAGTAAATTAGCATGCCATTTAATAATAATAAGTTAGCATTATCGTTTTGAACTAAATTAGCTATAGCTAATAGAAATATATTAGTTATAAATTAGCTAGAGAACTATAGTTCTACTTCTTAAATTACGACATAGATGAGCTGACTTATCCAACGATTCCCGAAACGAGTCAGTCAAGAGTTATTCCAATCTTTGATGAACATTGTTTTGCCCAAAATTACAATAACAATGACTCTCATATAACTTATGCAAGTATTATTTAAATATTCATATCAAATTACGCTTATATAAATAAAAAAACAACCACACCTAACTAGATTCAAATGAACTTATTTGAAGGAACTAGGAGTAACTATAAAATCAGTAATATTTTAACGTGTATATTATATTTTTTTATATACATGTATTTCAGTTCAATTTCTTGTACTGATAACAATTTAGATGCTCATATTATTATTTAATTCATTTTCTCTTTAGTTTGACAAGATGTATATATGTGTTTATGATAAACAGATCAATATACAGATAGTACAAATTTAATAGTGCAAATAAACGCTTTTGGTTAGCCGAAGTTGTTCGGGCTCTAGATAAAACCGCCAATACGTGCAAAACAAACATGTGAATGGCTCTTTGACCCTCTATCTTCTATAATTGATTTTGTGGAACCATTTTCATTTTGTTTAAACTGCATAACGAACGCGACACTTTATTGCAATATAAATGGAGCAAATAACAGTATAACAAATCGTTAATTCAGTCTTTCAACTGCATGGTGCAGTTTCATAGTTGCTTCCTCCGTAAAGGAATCTGGAACTGAAGATCGATCGCTGTCTCAAAGCATTAGGCATCTCGAATGCAGTTCTTCGATTTATACCTCTTTGACCACAATGGGTAATTGCAGCACACAATACCACATTGTGAATGCCGGCGGCAAGTGCACTGAAATAAAACTAGGCTACATGGCATTGTGTACAGTTGTTAATTGTCCTTCTCACACTTTTGGGTTATCCGCTTGAACAGAGGTGGAGACAGTTCACTCAAGCCGGCACAAGCTGGCAGAAACGTAAAGCCAGGCTGATGACTTTTCCCAGTTCTCACTATGCTATATTAATTACATTAAGCAATGTTTCACCACCGTAAAGTAACGAATCATTATACACAAAAGAAGAGCGAGCCAATAAATATGGTAGCATTATGAAATTATACGAATAATACGAATACGAAATGAAAAGCTATATGTTTATACGTTCTTCAAGGTGTGTATGTCAGGGCACAGCTATGTGGCGATGTACATAAATCCACGTTAGTACGAAACGAATAGGCTATAGGTAAGAAATCATCAGGACAAGCAGTGTGCATCAGAGAATGACGCCTTTCAATGAAAACTTGAAGTCTAATATTACGTTCACAGTATATGCAAAGCAAAAAGACTTACCTGCCAGAACGAGCGTTGTTATTAGCAGACAATTCATCTCTTCTCTGTGACAGAAAACAAGCGGCTGTAAAAATATCGCAGAAAACAGTGTAATGTAAGACAGTGTAATGGAAATCACCGCCATACGAGAACAGACATCATAGGCGTTGCGCACTGTATAAATCCTTATCGATTAAAATTATGTGGCAATGCCACGATATAGTTGACAGATACGTACCTTACCAACTTCTGTAGGTCTTTATGTTTCAGTTGTAGACGTCGACCGCTTTTGCAGCTGATAAGCATCGTGTGCTCTAACTTTATAGCGTACGGATACCTTAATCACGTGATCTTACATACCAAAGACGAATGTTGAGTTGAGTTGAGTTGAGTTGAGTTGAGTTGAATTGCGTTGCGTTGCGTTGGGTTGATTGTTGAGAAGTTGCATTCAACTGGAACAGATTACGTTTCATTGTTTTCGTTAAGCAAAAATTGATTAAATTTCTTCCGCTTCACTGTCACAGAAGCATCCAAGAATGACGCAACGCCTCCAAATATATTAATATTATGACATTATGTCAAGATCAAAGTATGAAACCAAGAAACGACGCAACGCCTCCAAATCTATTAATATTATGACTTATGCCAAGATCAAAGTATCTAACCAAGAAACGCATTAATTTTAAGCCGAAGCATGTATTTAACAGTTATTCTGCGAACTCGAGTCGTATATGAGCTGATAGCCGACGAGGAGTTGGCTATCGGCCATATACGACGAGTGGGCAGGATAACTGTTTTATTATAATTATACACAAACTTTGTCGCCCTTTCGGTGTATTTTGGTGTGCTATTATCAACTAAAGCTTTGATTTCTATTTCACTCAACTCCCCAAATCTTTCAGTCATTTTGTTTACTTTCTCTAGTAGCCAACCAATGAAATTGCAGCATACCTAATATCTGGCGCTTGTGTATATAATAATTACATTTATCTAACTATTGCTATGGTTATCTGTTTTGGTTTAATTTGTAATATCATACATTATTTGTTTGCCTTCGTATCATCAAAGAACCTTGTCAAATTGTGAAATCTTACAAACACATACAAATGTACTTCTTTTGACTTACTTGCAGCTACAATTTAGTGCAAAAGTATATTTGGTTTTGCGATCGCTTTTTTGTTTACGACCGACCTGTTTGGGCTCCCACGACTTTGTCATTAAGATGGATTAAGGCAATGAAAGAAAATCTTCCAACTGTAAAAATTGTATTTACCGATTTTTGTTACAGCTGAAACCGACAGTAACCCGTATGTATCACAGGACAATGACAAATTGCTTAATCTCGGTATAGAAACGAGTTTGTACCCAGGTGCATTCAACTCGTCCGATCCACAGATGCATCAAAGAATGAGGTAACGCCCTCAAATCTATAAATCTTATGACTGATGCATTCTGCCAGGATCAAACCACATTTATTTGAAGCCGAAGCATTATTTACATTTAGCTAACGATTGTTATCAATCGTCGCAGTGTTATCCAGAAAAGCAGTTAGTAGAGCAGAACGCCAAAGACATAATTATATGTCGCATGTGACAGTTTGTTAAGAACGGAAAAATATTTAAATAAATAATTCATTTGTAACTCAAACCTACATATTCATACATTACATACCGACTGATATACCGTCAATTCACCCATAATTGTTAGTGATATTAAAGAGTTTTGCATTTGATCGAAGAGATATACGTATGGTGCATTGAAAATAATCCTCTCCGATGATGCTTTTCTTCGAAGTTGTTAATCTGGTCAAATATGGTATCAAAACTTCTCAAATCAAAAACAAAATCATCTCGACGTTTCAACCTCTAGAGGGGCATTCGTCGGGAGATTATAAGTTTATACTAGCTGACGAAGCCTGTTAAGTTGAAACGTTCAAAATATTTTTCGTCTGTTCTAATTACACACATTTAATGACAGGTTGTTTGGAAACGCTGCCACGCCGCTCCCTAGTTATATATTCGAACGTATATTGTCGCCGGATATTATATTATGCTTTGGATTAAAAATATATTATTAAAATCTGTTTACGCAAAAGCGTTCATGAAGAATGCAACGTTGTGAAAAACATAAGTACAAGCGCAATTCCGTGGATTTGAGTGTCCTCGGATGCCGCTTGTCAAAACAAAGTGTAATGAGGAAAATTTATTCAACTGGAAAGTTATATTGAACATGAATGATCTAAGGTCATTAAAACTGCTGGCTTTTTATAATAACTATAAAGGTTGCATGTAGATTATAATTGTATACATTGTCAGCCGCTAGATTTTAGAGAGTTCCACGCATTTAGCTTATTCTTTAATTCGTCAGCATGCATTTTAGACGCAAAATAGAATTGTGTTTCAATCGTTTGTTTGTCCTACGCCGCCGAGTGTAGCCAGAGAAATATAATTCTCTGTAAAGCTTATATAATTCACAACTGGTAGATACCAACATATTAATGAATAGGCTATATAAAAATTATCAACAAAACTTTTGCAGCTTTCTTTGACGTGTCAAAGAAGGAGATGCAAGAAAATCAAGGAACCTATATTATAGCAAGGTTTGGCTAATTTTTATTCACTTTACCACTTATCTACGAAACCTAATCTTTTTGCTAATAACGATTCACAATTTGTTTGGGATTTACAAAAAACTCGTTCCATTATTGTTCTGGCTGGCAAAATTTTCCATTTAAATCTCAAGGTGTCAGAATCGCGAATTTTATTTTTATTTTAAATTGAAATGTATAAGTATAACACTTTAAAGATCATACAAACGTCGCGTGGGTTTTGAGTGTCGGTAAAAGCGCGAGTACTGCATCAAAAACAGGAGCACAATTCACTTAAGTAGAAAGTTATATCGAACATGATTTTGGTGATTACAATTCACATTTGGTTTAACTTAATTTAACTTAACTTCACTTCAGGCTTAGTCTTTGATTCGTCAGCACTTAACATAGTAGAAATATACCTTTGAACAGGCATGCTCCAACGATTGTGTTAAAGATAATAAAGAACGCCTAAGAAAGCCTAATAAAGAACGCCTCTTTAATATTGACATTAACTTGATCAAAGACCCTTGTCAAATTGTTAAATCTTAACAGATACAAAAGTATTATTCCTTTTGCTGCAGTGGCGTAGCCAGAACGATAATTTGGGGGGGGGGCATATTCATATATTCGTTATACGCAGCTAGGATTAATAATTATTTCTTTTCAAATCAATTGTCTTTGAAGTCTGTTTACATGAATATATGAATATGGGTCCCCCCAATTATCGATGCTGGCTACGCCACTGCCTTTTGACTGACTTAAACCTACAATACTGTTCTGCATTTCAGTACACGTTTACAAGTGCAAAATTATTTCGTATTGCAATCGCTTATTTATCTACGGCTGACTTGTGTGGGCTGCCACGACTTTGTCTTTAAGACGGATTAAGGCAATGGATGAAAATCGCCCAACTGTAAAAATTATATTTACCGATTTTTGTTGAACTAAAACCTACAGGCTATAGTAACCCCTAGCTATTTATAAGCTAAGAGGAGAATATATTCAATTACAGTTACCATGTCTGCTACCAGAAGGTTTGTGCCAAGTTGCATTCAACTGTACCAGATTATATTTCACTATTTTTGTTAAGCACAAATTAATTAAATTTTGTCCGATCCACAGAAGCATTCAAGAATGACGCAACGCCCCCAAATCTATAAATCTTATGACTGTTGCATCATACCAGGATCAAACCAAGGAACACATTTATTTTAAGGCGAAGCATTATTTACATTTTTTCTCAGTGTTATCCAGAAAAGCAGTTAGTATTAAGCAGAACATCACAGGCATATAAAATCATGTGGCATCTAGCAGTGGCGTAGCCAGCCCGAAATCTAGTCATGCTATGCTAATATTTTGGTGTTCATTGACTGTGAAAACAATGAATTTCTAAGTAATGAATAATGATAATAACATAAAATTTGCAGAGCAAGACTAAATCGCCAGGCTGGCTACGCCACTGGCATGTATAACCGTTTGCTAAGTACTGAAAAATATTTAAATAAATTATTCATTTATATCTCAAACCTACATATTCATACATTACGTACCGACTGATACCGTCAATTCACCCCTATAATTGATTTTAATATTACAATGTTTTGCATTTGTAAAGTTTGCAGATTCCTGAATAAATGAGATAAAATTGTTGATCTGATCAAATGTGGCATCAAAAGTTTATCAAATGTGGCATTATAAGTTTATACTAGCTTACGAAGCCTCCTAAGTTGAAACGTGCAAAATATTTGTTGTCTATTTTAAGTCATGGTTACACCATATTTAATGAGAGGTTGTTTGGGAACGCTGCCACGCCACTCCCTGGTTATATTTGAACGTATTATTTCGCCGGATATTATATTGATATATAATGCTTTTGACTAAAAATATATTATTAAAATCTGTTGACGCAAAAGCTTTCATGATGAATGCAACGTTGTGAAAAACATAAGTACAAGCGTAATTCCGTACGCGTGGATTTGAGTGTCCTCGGATAGCTACTGCTTGCCAAACAAAATATAAGTGTACTGAAGAAAATTCATTCAACTGGTAAGTTATATTCAACAAGTTTCTCAAGAACTCACAGTTTGCTTTATATATAACTATAAATGTTACATGTATATTATATATAAATTGTCAGTGCTGGATTTTAGAGAGTTCCAGAGCGTAGCGTAACCAGCGCCTGACGATTTGTCCCATTATGCTAAATATTTTGGTGTTCATTGACTATGAAAACAATTAATTTCTAAAGAGATGAATGATTATACCTTGAAATTTACATAGCGGAACAAAATCGTCAGGCTGGCTACGCTCTGGAACTTTCACTGCATTTAGCTTATTCATTAATTCCTAAGCACTTTAGATGCAAAATAGAGTCGTGTTTCTGAATCATTTGTTTGTCCTACGCCACCAGAGTGTTGCCAGAGATTTAAAGCCATTGTTCATAAAAAATAATCCGCTATATAATATACTGTAAAGCTTATATTCTTCAGAACTTGTAGATAATATATATATATAGGCTATATAAGAGTTATCAACAAAACTTTTGCAGCTTTCTTTGACATGTCAAAGAAGGAAATGCAAGAAAATCAAGGGGCCTATATATCAATGTTTGGCTTATTTATTCACTTTATAACTTATCTACCAACCCTAATCCTTTTAGCTAATAACGATTTACAGTGTGGTTGGGATTTACAAAAAGCTTATTGAATTATTGTTTTGGCATACAACATTATCCACCATTTGCATTGATATTAAAACAAGAGATTTTTTAATTAAAAGGTGATCAAAATCGCAAATTTTATTTTTTTTTAATTTATAAAGTTATATTGAACATGATTTAGGTGATGATAACTCACATGTGGTTTGGTCTTTATAATATTATAACCAAAAGGTGATATAATGCACTTATACTATAACTTTTAAGAAATTACAACTTAACTTAACTTGGTCTTTAATTCGTCAGCACTCTAGCGGAAAATAGATTTACCTTTCAACAGGCATGCGCCAACGATTGTGTTAAAGACGGATTATATATAGCCTAATAAAGAACATCTCTTTTATAATACTGACATTAGTTGATCAAAGAACCTTGTCAGTGGTCAAATTGTCACGTCTTAATACATTATTCCTTTTGACTGACTTGAAGCTACAATACTGTTCCGCATTTCAGTATACACGTTTACAAGTGCAAAATTATTTGTATCAATTGTATGGCAATCGTTTATTTGTCTACGACTGACCTGTCT